TTTTCCCAGCCCAGGGCACAAAACACAAAGTGATTTTCCCTCAATCAATCCCTGTTTGCAAAACCCCCCCAAAATCCCCTTTTACTCAGAATTTCCTCCAATTTCCCTCCCCAAAATGAGCAAAGCGGGGCCTCCGCTGCCTCATGGGGCTCTGCTGGTACAAAAATCTGATTTAAATCCCGATTTTTGGTCTCCCCCTTTCATTTCCCGGCACATTTTCATTGTTTTTAACACAAATTTGGGTTTTTTTAGATGACTGTGGATAAAAATTTCCAGAAACACCAGGGCAGGGAGGCGTACCTGAAGCTGCACCACGGCTGAGGAAAAATGTCTTTATTTGGAGCTCCAGGCTGAATAAATCAAATATTTAAAATGGTTTTTTTTATAATGTTTTTAATGCTTTTTAATGTTTTTAATTTGCTCTGCTCATCTCAATCCTCCCAGCCCCATTCCAGCTCATCGGGAAGAAATTGAAATCCAGAATTTGTTTCGAAATAGTTTGAAGGTGTTTTAAAATATTTTGATGTGTTTTAAATGTGTTGGAGATATTTAAAAAATATTTAGTAATGAACTGAAAACAATATTTCAAAATATATCAAAATATATAAATATATAAAATCAATTGTAACATAAAAATTCAAATTCTAAACTTTCATTTAGTTAGTTTAACATGTCTCCAAACTATAAATTTATATTCTCACTTTTAGTATTTAAAAAATTTTTAAAGCCTCAAATTAAATACTATATTTAGTATTATATTTAATTTTAATATATTTAGTATATATTTAATTTAATATTTATTTAATATATTTAGTATATATTTAATTTTAAACTTTAGATTATAAAACCACATAACTTTATATACCAAATAATTTTTAATCCCAAATATTTTTATATCCCAAATATTTTAATATACCAATTAATTTTATATCCCAAATAATTGTATATACAAAATAGTGTTATATACCAAATAATTTTATATCGCAAATAATTTTATATACAAAATAATTGTATATACCAAATAATTTTATATTGCAAATAATGTTATAAACCAAATCATTTTATATACCAAATAATTTTATATCCCAAATATTTTTATATACCAAATAATTTTATATCTCAAATAATTTTATGCACAAAATAATTGTACATACCAAATAATTTTATCTACAAAATAATTTTATATCCCAAATATTTTTATATACCAAATAATTTTATATCCCAAATAATTTTAGATACAAAGTAATTGTATATACGAAAAGAATTTCATATATCAAATAATTTTATATCCCAAATAATTTTATAAACCAAATGATTTTCCAAGAATTCCCTACATTTCAAATTCTAACACTCAGAGAATTTTTATGGTTTTTTGCCCAAAATATCACCCTGAAAATACTGAGGGACAGAGGCCGGGTTGGGACAGGTGGATTTTTGCATTTTGGCTCCTTCCCTGCTGAAATGAAAATATTCTTAATTTTAAAAGTAATTTTAAATGCTTGAAACTGAGAATATTGACACAAAAATAAACGTGGCCTGAAACAGAAAGTTCCTGGTGCTGGGGCAGCTGTTCCCCCTCAAACCTTTAATTTCTGTATTTCCAAACCCAAATGCTAATTTAAATTCATAATTTAATTCAAAATAATTTAATTAACAATTAAATTTTAATTACTAATGAAATGATTTTCAATTAAATTGATTTAATTTAATTTAAATTAGATAAAATTTCAGATAAAATTCCCTTTATTATGAACGCAATAAATTATTATTATATTCCTTTATTAGATTTATATTTATTTAATTTAAATGTATTAATTTTTATTAAATTGATAAAGGAACATAATAATACTAAATAACTTTACTAAATACCTTTATTAAATAATTCTAAATACCTTTACTACATAATAATTATTATTCCTTTCTGATGAACATAAAAATCCCAATTTGCCCATAAAGACATAATTTTTTAAATTATGAACATAATAAATTATTATTATATTACTTAAATTAATAGTTATTAAATTTAAAGTTATTATTTTTTATTAAATTGATAAAGGAACATAATACTAAATACCTTTATTAAATAATACAAAATAATTATTATTGTTCCTTTCTGATGAACATAAAAATCCCAATTTGCCCATAAGGACATAAAATTTATTTTATTATGAACATAATAAATTATTATATTCCTTTATTAAATTAATATTTATTAAATTTCAATTTATAATTTTTATTAAATTGATAAAGGAAGATAATAATACTAAATACCTTTATTAAACAATTCTAAATACTTTTACTAAATTATTATTATTATTATTCCTTTCTGATGAACACAAAAATCACAATTTGCTCATAAGGACATAATTTTTTAAATTATGACCATAACAAATTATTATTATATTACTTAAATTAATAGTTATTAAATTTAAAGTTATTATTTTTTATTAAATTGATAAAGGAACATAAAAATACTAAATACCTTTACTAAATAATAATTATTAGTCCTTTCTGATGAACACAAAAATTCCCAAAAAATTTGCTCGTAAGGACGTAAATTTTCTTTTATTATGAACATAAAAACTACAATTTTCATTCCACCTTTTTTTTTTATTTCCCCTACCCAGCAAGGGATTTTTCTCCTTGCAGAAACCACAAAAGTAAAGTTAAAAAAAGATAAAATTTTTGGATATATACAAACATTTACATTTTCTGTACATTTTTCATTCTGTACAAGCAAGGCACCAGCAGAAGCGACAGTGGCACACACAGGGGGGAGGTTGAGATTTAATTTCAGATTTTTTTTTGGCAGGAAATCATTGGAAAAAACCTTTTTTAATTAAATTTTTGTCCTTGGAAAGAGGGGGGATCCTTTTAACAGCGCGGAGGTGAAGTTGGAATTTTTGGAAGATTTTGGACCAAACCTCAGGAGCTTTTTCTGGATGGGAACTGAACCCAGATTTTGGGGTAAAGAAAACCCAAATGGTTTTTCCAAAGAAACCAAAGAAAACATTTTTTTGGTTTTGTTTAACCCTAAAATAAAGAAGATTTTTCTTCTTTATTTTCTGTAAGAAAATGCTGAAGGGAAATGAAAGCAAAGCCCTCCAGAAGCAGCAAATAATGACAAGAGTGGGGTGGAAATAAAGGGAATAAAGGGAGGAAATAAAGGGAATAAAGGGAATAAAGGGAGGAAATAAAGGGAATAAAGGGAGGGAATAAAGGGAATAAAGGGAATAAAGGGGGGAAATAAAGGGGGGAAATAAAGGGAATAAAGGGAGGAAATAAAGGGGGGAAATAAAGGGAATAAAGGGAGGAAATGGAGGGAGAATAAAGGGAGATAAGGGGGGAAATAAAGGGAATAAAGGGAATAAAGGGAGGAAATAAAGGGGGGAAATAAAGGGAATAAAGGGAGGAAATGGAGGGAATAAAGGGAATAAAGGGAGGAAATAAAGGGGGGAAATAAAGGGAATAAAGGGAGAAAATAAAGGGGGGAAATAAAGGGAATAAAGGGAGGAAATAAAGGAAGGAAATAAAGGGAATAAAGGGAGGAAATGGAGGGAATAAAGGGAATAAAGGGAGGAAATAAAGGGGGGAAATAAAGGGAATAAAGGGAGGAAATAAAGGGGGGAAATAAAGGGAATAAAGGGAGGAAATAAAGGAAGGAAATAAAGGGAATAAAGGGAGGAAGTAAAGGAAATAAAGGGAATAAAGGGGGGAAATAAAGAGGGGAAATAAAGGAAATAAAGGGAATAAAGGGGGGAAATAAAGGGAATAAAGGGAATAAAGGGGGGAAATAAAGGCTGGGTCCTCCAAATCCAAACCCAATCCCAATCCCTGGGTCCCCAAATCCAACTCCTGTCTCCTCCAAATCCAAATCCAATCCCTTGGTCCTCCAAATCTAAATCCAAATCCAACCCTGGGTCCTCACATCCAACCCCTGTGTCCTCCAAATCCAAATCTAAATCCAGCCCTGTGTCCTCCAAATCCAGCTCTGGATCCTCCAAATCCAATCTCTGTGTCCTCTAAATCCAAATCCAACCACTGTGTCCTCCAAATCCAAATTCAAATCCAAATCCAATTCCTGTGTCCTCTAAATCCAAATCCAATCCCTGGGTTCTCCAAATCCAGTCCTTGGGTCCCCACATCCAACCCCTGTGTCCTCCAAATCCAGCCTTGGATCCTCCAGATCCAAATCCAACCCCTGGGTTCTCCAAATCCAACCCCTGTGCCCCTCCAAGCCCTGGATCCCTCAGCTCCAGCTCCTGTGTCCCCCAAATCCAACCCCTGGGTGCTCCAAATCCAAATCCAGTCCTTGGGTCCCCACATCCAATCCCTGTGTCCTTCAAATCCAACCCCTGGGTTCCTCCAAATCCAGCCCCTGTGTCCTCCAAATCCAAATCCAGCCCCTGTGTCCTCCAAATCCAAATTCAAATCCAAATCCAATTCCTGTGTCCTCTAAATCCAAATCCAACCCCTGGGTTCTCCAAGTCCAAATCCAACCCCTGTGCCCCTCCAAGCCCTGGATCCCTCAGCTCCAGCTCCTGTGTCCTCCAAATCCAACCCTTGGGTGCTCCAAATCCAAATCCAACCCCTGGGTGCTCCAAATCCAAATCCAAATCCAACCCCTGGGTGCTCCAAATCCAAATCCAGTCCTTGGGTCCCCACATCCAATCCCTGTGTCCTTCAAATCCAACCCCTGGGTTCCTCCAAATCCAAATCCAGCCCCTGTGTCCTCCAAATCCAAATCCAGCCCCTGTGTCCTCCAAATCCAAATCCAAATCCAAATTCAAATCCAAATCCAGCCCCTGTGTCCTCCAAATCCAAATCCAAATCCAAATTCAAATCCAAATCCAGCCCCTGTGTCCTCCAAATCCAAATCCAAATTCAAATCCAAATCCAGCCCCTGTGTCCTCCAAACCCAGCCCCTCCAAGCCCTGGCTCTCTCAGCTCCTCAGAAATGAAATCTCCCCCCAGAGCGGAGCCCAAAGCCCCCCAGACAATTCCCAGGTGGAGCGCCGCAGTGAGCAGAGGGAGAGCAGGGTGGGAGTGGGGCCCAGAGACCCCTCCTCAGCTGGGCAGCCTCTCCTGAGCCCCGGGGCAGCTCCCCGGGGGAATTTTGGGAACGTCCCCCCTCACTTCTTCCTGCGGATTTTGGGTTTCTTGACGGGCCTCAGGTAGGGGTTGTCGATGACGTTCTCCTCCCCGTTCCTGCTGCCTGCCAGGGAGCTGCTCTGCTGCAGCACGGAGCTGTTCTCCTTCTCGGGCCCTGCGTCGTCCTGACACGGAAAAAACAGCAAAAAAATCACAAAGTCAGGCGTGGAAATCTTTCTGCTCACAGAATCCGTGGTTGCTCCAAGTCTGGAAGTGTCCACAGCCAGGATGGAGCAATCCTGGGGTAAGGGAAGGTGTCCCTGCCCGTGGGACAGGATTTTTATGGTCCCAAACCATTCCAGGATTCCAGGCTCAAAGCCCAGAAGCTGTGGGCAGGAGGGACAATCAACAACCAAGCCCACAAGGAGCTGCACCAGAGGCCAGGACCCCTGGTTTGTGAGACAGGGAAATCCCCTGGGAAAATGAAAATTCGGGATGTCCTGAAAGCTCCAGCTCAGCCTCGTTCTGCACTGGACTCTGCAGGGAGCTGGGGAACCAGGACAATGCTCAGTTCCATTTCCCAGGAAAACAGGGCCAGAATTCCAAGCTGGAGAACCAGGACAAAATTCAGTTCCATTCCCCGTTTCCCAGGAGGCAGAGCCAGAATTCCAAGCTCAAGAACCCTGACACTGTTCAGTTCCATTCCCATTCCCCATTTCCCAGGAGGCAGAGCCAGAATTCAAAGCCACAGAACTCTGACAATGTTCAGTTCCATTCCCCATTTCCTATTTTCCAGGAGACAAAGCCAGGTTTTCCAAACTGGAGAACCCTGACACTGCCCAGTTCCAGTCCTCATTTCCCAGGAAACAAAGCCAGAATTCCAACTCAAGAGCCCTGACACTGCCCAGTTCCATTATTTCCCATTTCCCAGGAGACAGCCAGGTTTTCCAAACTGGGGAACCCTGACAATGTTCAGTTCCATTTCCCATTTCCCAGTTCTCATTTCCCAAGGAGGCAGAGCCAGGTTTTCCAAGCTAGAGAACCCTGACAATGTTCAGTTCCATTTCCCATCTCCCATTTCTCATTCAAAGCCAGAATTCCAAGCTCAAGAGCCCTGACACTGCTCAATTCCATCATTTCCCATTTCCCAGGAGGCAGAGTCAGGTTTTCCAAACTGGAGAACCCTGACACTGCTCAGTTCCATTTCCCATTTCCCATGAGACAGAGCCAGAATTCCAAGCTCAAGAACCCTGACACTGTTCAGTTCCATCATTTCCCATTTCCCAGGAAACAGAGCCAGGTTTTCCAAGCTGTGGGAAACCAGGGGAACCCTGACAAAAGTTCAGTTCCATTTCCCAGGAAACAAAGCCAGAATTCAAAGCTACAGAACCCTGACACTGTTCAGTTCCATTCAACATTTTCCATTTCCCATTTCTCATTTCCCATTTCCCATTTCCCAGGAAACAGAGCCAGGTTTTCCAAGCTGTGGGAAACCAGGGGAACCCTGACAAAAGTTCAGTTCCATTTCCCAGGAAACAAAGCCAGAATTCAAAGCTACAGAACCCTGACACTGTTCAGTTCCATTCAACATTTTCCATTTCCCATTTCTCATTTCCCATTTCCCATTCCCAGGAAACAGAGCCAGGTTTTCCAAGCTCGAGAACCCTGACACTGCTCAGTTCCATCATTTCCCATTCCCAGGAGGCAGAGGCAGGTTTGCAAGGTGCAGAACCCTGACACTGCTCAGTTCCATTTCCCATTTCCCATTCCCAGGAGGCAGAGCCAGGTTTCCCAAGCTGGAGAACCCTGACAATGTTCAGTTCCATTTCCCATCTCCCATTTCTCATTTCCCATGAAACAAAGCCAGAATTCCCAGCTCAAGAGCCCTGACACTGCTCAATTCCATTTCCCATTTCCCATTTCCCAGGAGGCACAGGCAGAATTTCAAACTGGGGAACCCTGACACTGCTCAGTTCCATCATTTCCCATTCCCAGGAGGCACAGGCAGGTTTGCAAGGTGCAGAACCCTGACACTGCTCAGTTCCATTTCCCATTTCCCACTTTCCATTTCCCAGGAGGCAGAGACAGAATTCCAAGCTCAAGAGCCCTGACACTGCTCAGTTCCATCATTTCTCATTTCCCAAGAGACAAAGCCAGAATTCCAAGCTGGGGAACCCTGACACCATTGCCCAGGAGGCAGAGCCAGGTTTTCCAAACTGCAGAACCCTGACACTGCTCAGTTCCATTTTCCATTTCCCATTCCCAGGAGACAGAGTCAGGTTTCCAAGGGAAACCCCATTCCAAGGGAAAACCCCATTCCCAGGAGACAGAGTCAGGTTTTCCAAACTGGAGAACCCTGATAATGTTCAGTTCCATTTCCCATTTCCCAAGAGACAAAGCCAGAATTCCAAACTGGAGAACCCTGACACTGCTCAGTTCCATTTTGCATTTCCTATTCCCCATTTCCCAGGAGACAGAGCCAGGTTTCCAAGCTGCAGCACCCTGACCCCATTCCCAGGAGGCAGAGGCCGTTTTTCCAAACGGGGGAACCCTGACACTGCTCAGTTCCATTTCCCATTTCCCATTTCCCATTCCCAGGAGGCACAGGCAGGTTCCCAAGGTGCAGAACCCCGACACTGCTCAGTTCCATTTCTCATTTCCCATTTCCCATTCCCAGGTGGCAGAGCCAGGTTTTCCAAACTGGGGAACCCTGACACTGCTCACTTCCATTTCCCATTTCTCATTTCCCATTTCCCACTTCCCATTTCTCATTTCCCAGGAAACAAAGCCAGAATTCCAAGCTCAAGAGCCCTGACACTGCTCAGTTCCACCATTTCCCATTCCCAGGCGGCAGAGCCAGGTTTTCCAAACTGGGGAACCCTGACACTGCTCAGTTCCATTTCCCATTTCCCATTCCCAGGAGGCACAGGCAGGTTTCCAAGCTGAGGAACCCTGACACTGCTCAATTCCATTTCTCATTTCCCATTTCCCATTCCCAGGAGGCACAGGCAGGTTTGCAAGGTGCAGAACCCTGACACTGCTCAGTTCCATTTCCCATTTCCCACTTTCCATTTCCCAGGAGGCAGAGACAGAATTCCAAGCTCAAGAGCCCTGACACTGCTCAGTTCCATTTTCCATTTCCCATTCCCAGGAGACAGAGTCAGGTTTCCAAGGGAAACCCCATTCCAAGGGAAAACCCCATTCCCAGGAGACAGAGTCAGGTTTTCCAAACTGGAGAACCCTGATAATGTTCAGTTCCATTTCCCATTTCCCAAGAGACAAAGCCAGAATTCCAAACTGGAGAACCCTGACACTGCTCAGTTCCATTTTGCATTTCCTATTCCCCATTTCCCAGGAGACAGAGCCAGGTTTCCAAGCTGCAGCACCCTGACCCCATTCCCAGGAGGCAGAGGCAGTTTTTCCAAACGGGGGAACCCTGACACTGCTCAGTTCCATTTCCCATTTCCCATTTCCCATTCCCAGGAGGCCCAGGCAGGTTCCCAAGGTGCAGAACCCCGACACTGCTCAGTTCCATTTCCCATTTCCCATTTCCCGCTCCCAGGAGGCACAGGCAGGTTCCCAAGGTGCAGAACCCTGACACTGCTCAGTTCCATTTCTCATTTCCCATTTCCCATTCCCAGGCGGCAGAGCCAGGTTTCCCAAAGTGGGGAACCCTGACACTGCTCAGTTCCATTTCTCATTTCCCATTTCCCATTCCCAGGAGGCCCAGGCAGGTTCCCAAGGTGCAGGAATGGCCCCAGGAGCCCCCCGGCGTGGCCCCACCGTGCTCATGTGCAGCGGGAGGTTCTCGGTGTCCGTCTGCTCGTCCTGCTCCGAGGAATCCGTCTCCTCCATCTGCTGCATCTCCAGCTCCGAGGGCAGCAGCGCCGTCAGGTAGGGCACGGTGAAGGGCCTGGCAGCAATCACTGGCAGCAGGGAAAACAGGAGACACAGTCAGCAAGCCGGGAGAAATTCCTGCCCTCAGAAACGAGGGGCAGAGTTATGGAGATCAAACATTTCGCTGGTTCTGGGTTTGGGCGCGTTTCATTTTCCTTTTCCTTTTTTGGATGCTTTTCCTTACATTTCCTAAGGATCAGGAAGGAAATCTTGATCCCTGAAAGATGGCAGTCTCTATTTCCCAAATTTCTGATCCCTAAAAGATGGCAGTCTCTACTGCTTCCCAATTTTCTGATCCCTGAAAGATGGCGCTCTCTATTCCCAATTTCCTGATCCATAAAGGATGGCACTCTCTACTTCCAAATTTTCTGATCCCTAAAAGAAGGCAGTCTCTATTATTTCCCAATTTTCTGATCCCTAAAAGATGGCACTCTGTCCTTCCCAATTTTCTGATCCCTAAAAGGTGAAATCTCTATTATTTCCAAATTTTCTGATCCCTAGAAGATGACAGTCTCTACTGCTTCCCAATTTTCTTATCCTTAAAAGATGGCGCTCTCTACTTATTTGGATTTGGGATGAGATTTGGATTGGGATGAGATTTGGATTTGGGATGAGATTTGGATTTAACTTCTCCACCAGGAGAAAAAAGGGAACCTCGAGGAGCTGCTTTCTTCCTTTCCTCCCCATTTTAACCCCCAATCCCTCCTTTCCCAACCTCCCATTGTGGCAATCCTTAAATCCTTTCCCCAAACCCTCTGATTTTAAGGACTCCCACACTCAGCAAGGCCAACACCACCGTGGGATGATTCCCAAACCCAAAAGCGAGGTGAAACCAGGGAGTGACTGACGTGGGAAGGTGCTGACATCGTCCTTGAAGAGGCTCTGGGTCTCGCCAGTCTTGGCCATGAAGCGGGTGAGGGCCCTCTCCACGTCCCGGCGCTGCGACGCCGCCTTCTCGCGCAGCACCTGGTAATCGCACACGGGCTCGCGGTACGTCTGCACGAGGGACAGCACCGGGACATGGGGAGGGTTACACCTCCAAACTGCACAGGCACGGAGCAGCTCCACGTCCAAACTGCACAGGCACGGAGCAGCTCCACGTCCAAATATCACAGGGATGGAGCAGCTCCACGTCCAAATATCACAGGGATGGAGCAGCTCCACTCCCAAACATCCCAGGGATGGAGCAGCTCCACTCCCAAACATCCCAGGGATGGAGCAGCTCCACTCCCAAACATCCAGGAATGAAGCAGCTCCTCCTCCAAATATCACAGGGATGGAGCAGCTCCACTCCTAAACATCCCAGGGATGGAGCAGCTCCTCCTCCAAATATCACAGGGATGGAGCAGCTCCACTCCCAAACATCCAGGGATGGAGCAGCTCCACCTCCAAACTGCACAGGCATGGAGCAGCTCCTCCTCCAAAGATCCCAGGGATGGAGCAGCTCCACGTCCAAATATCACAGGGATGGAGCAGCTCCACCTCCAAACAAACGTCCCAGGGATGGAGCAGCTCCACATCCAAACAAACATCCCAAAGTTGGAGCAGCTCCACGTCCAAACCTCACAGGGATGGAGCAGCTCCACCACCTCCAAACTGCACAGGAATGGAGCAGCTTCACTTCTAAACATCCCAGGGATGGAGCAGCTCCACTCCCAAACTTCACAGGAATGGAGAAGTTGTGGAGCAGCTCCACCTCCAAACAAACATCCCAGGGATGAAGGAGTTGTGGAGCCGCTCCACTTCCAAATTTCACAGGAACTGAGCAGCTCCCCCTCCAAACAAACGTCCCAGGGATGGAGCAGCTCCTCCACTCCCAAACTTCACAGGGATGGAGCTCCACTTCCAAACTTTGCACAAACTCCAAACTCCGTCACAGGGATGGAGCAGCTCCTCCATTCCCAAATATCCCAGGGATGGAGGAGTTGTGGAGCAGCTCCACTTCCAAACTTCACAGGCATGGAGCAGTTATGGAGCAGCTCCACCTCCAAACAAACATCCCAGGGATGGAGCATCTCCACTCCCAAACATCCCAGGGATGGAGCAGCTGCAGGCTCTGCTCTTCAGTGTCCATGGGGTTTTGGAGAGTTCCAGGGGTCCAGCAGGCAGAAATCCAGGGATCCTGCACTGAGAATGGTGTGGGAGCAGGCAATGGAAGGATCCCATCCCAAGGAATGCCCACAACCCACAAACAAGGAATATTCAAAGCCAGGAAAAACAATACTTTGGATAAATAGCACCAGCACTGAAGTAAAAAACAAAAAAACACTTCTGGGGTTCTGGACATCAAGCAGATCCCAAACAGCACAAAAATGAGAAATCCAGGGATTCTGGCTGATTTCTGGATGGCAAGGGATGCCCACAACCCTCAAAGAAGGGATGTATCAGGTCAGCAGGAATATTCTGGATAAACGGCAGCAGCAGCCCTGCAGTAAAACCTCCCCAGCTCCTGGAATTCAGAGAGACCCCAAACAGCACAAAAATGTTGTTTTCACTCACTGGTGTCTTGATGTAGGTGTGAGGATCTGGGAACTCTGGGAAGTGGCCAGGAATGTGGGGTGGGTGAGGTTTGTTCTGCCCGGCTGTCAGGGCCTTGGGGGTCACGGGCTGGTTTGTCACTGGAGCTGCAGGGGGGAAACAACACGGGAACGAGGGTAAAATCCACAGGAATCAGGGAAAACACAGAAATTAGGGAAAATAAACACAGGAATCAGGGAAACCAGCACAGGAATCAGAGAAAACACCACAGGAATCAGGGGAAACAAACACAGAAATAAGGGAAAACAGCACAGGAATGAGGGAAAACATCACAGGAATCAGGGAACACAGAAAAGGAAAACATCACAGGAATCAGGGAAAACAAACACTGGAATCAGGGAAAAAACCCCCACAGCAATTAGGGAAAACACAGGGATCAAGGAAAACAGCACAGGAATCAGAGAAAACAACAAAGGAATGAGGGAAAACAGCACAGGAATGAGGGAAAACAGCACAGGAATCAGGGAAAACACCACAGGAATCAGAAGCAAAGGATTCAGGGGAGCAAACAACAAAGGATTCAGGGAAAACAAACAGGAATCAGGGAAAACACAGAAATTAGGGAAAACAAACACTGGAATTAGGAAAAAGCCCACAGGACTCAGGGAAAACAACCACAGGAATCAGGGAGAAGAACACAGGAATAAGGGAAAACAAACACGGAATCAGGGAAAACACCACAGGAATCAGGGAACACACAGGGATCAGGGAAAACAAATACAGGAATCAGGGAAAAGAATAAAGGAATCAGAGAAAACACCACAGGGATCAGGTAAAAATCCACAGGGATCCGGTGAAACAAACACAGGAATCAGGAAGAAAACCCCACGGGGAATCAGGGGAAAAGAACACAGGAATCAGGGAGAGCAAAAAAGGAAAACAACAAAGGAATCAGGGAAAACGCCACAGGAATGAGGGAAAACTACCACAGGAATGAGGGAAAAGAACACAGGAATCAAGGAACACAAGAAAGGAAAACAGTAAAGGAATCAGGGAAAACACAGAAATCAGGGAAAACAAACACAGGAATTCTCCTGCCCAGGGTCCCCCAAAGCTCTGACCCCATCCCTGACCCTGGGATTGGATCCCGAAGGGAAAAGGATCCCTTGATCCTTCAGACCAATCCCCTCCTGAGTAACCCAGGTCCCTTCACCCCGCACAGGAGCCCCAAATCCTGGGGTTATCCCACAGAAAGCTCCCGAGGAAGGCAGTGAGAGGAATCCCAGGAATCCCAGGCTGGAATTCCCAGCCCAGGGAGGGTCCCCCACGTACGGGCAGTGATCACCATCCTCTGGGAACGCTTGGCGTAGGCTGGAAGGGTTTCCACGTTGAAGCCTGGAACAGAAAAGGGGAAAAGAGGAATTGATCCTGTCCAAATCCAGAATTTTTCCAAATTAAACAAGGATGGGGTGGGGAGGATCGTGGAAAAGCATCAGCTGTGTGTGGGCACAGCACAGGGCACCTGTCAGGGACATATTTTATGAAAATTCCTTTTCTTTAGGATTTTTCCTCCTGAGAAGCTGAGAGGCCTCAGGAACAAAATGTAAATAATAATTATCTGCTGCTGTGGGATGCAAAAGGTGGATCTGTGATTAATTTCATGTGGTTGTTTCTAATTAATGGCAAATCACAGTCCAGCTGTCTCAGACTCTCTGAGAGTCACAAGATTTTATTATCATCCCATTCTTTTTCTTTCAAACCTTCTGATTAAAACCTTTTTCTATTCTTTTAGTATAGTTTTAATATAATATCTATCATCTGTGCTGGTGTTCACAGGGGTTCCAGGACGAGGGAAGAGATGAGAATCTGACTCCATGTTCCACAAGGCTAATTTATTATTTTATTATATATTATATTATATTATATTATATTATATTATATTATATTATATTATATTATATTATATTATATTACATTACATTATATTATATTATATTATATTATATTATATTACATTTATATTATATTATATTATATTATATTATATTATATTATATTACATTATGTCATATCGTATTACATTATATTACATTATATTACATTATATTACATTACATTACATTATATTACATTATATTAAAACTATACTAAAAGAACAGAAGAAAGGATTTCATCAGAAGGCTTGAAAAGGAATAGGAAAAATAATGGAATAAATAACAAAATCTTGTGTCTGACCAGAGACTCTGAGCCAGCTGACTGTGATTGGCCATTAATTAGAAACAACCACATGAAATTAATCAAGGATCCACCTGCTGCATTCCACAGCAGCAGATAATTATTAATATTTACATTCTGTTCCTGAGGCTTCTCAGAAAAAAATCCTAAGGAAAGGCTTTTTCATAAAATGTGTCTGTTATCATAAAATAATAAAATAATTATTTTACTATCATAAAATATGAAATATATAAATATAAATATCATTAAAATTAATTATTTTATTATCATAAAATAATAAATCATCCTTCTGAACACGGAGTCAGATTCTCATCTCATCCCTCATCCCGGTACCCCTGTGAACACCACCACAGGCAGCCCCAAATCCCAGATTTCGGGGGGAAATGTCCCAGTCCAAACTGGGAGGGTGGGAGGAGGGAGCTGCTCACCCATCTCCACCAGGGTGACCACGATGTCCGAGAGCGTGGGCTGGGTCCTGGCCGTGTGCTCGCAGTAGGATTTGGCGCTCCTGCCGATCTCTGAGATGTCTGCAGGGCAAAACCACCAGGGGTTCAATTCTACAGCTGGGGCAGCTCCAGGGATGGGGAGGGCTGGGGGGTTGAAGTGGGGAATGCAGGGGTTGGTGCCTTGGATTGGGAATGATTTTTGGGATGGGTGCCTTTGGATTTGGGGCTGATTCCAGGGATTGGTGCCTTTGGATTAGGGGCTGATTCCAGGGATTGGTGCCTTTGGATTAGGGGCTGATTTTTGGGATGGGTGCCTTTGGATTTGGGGCTGATTCCAGGGATTGGTGCCTTTGGATTAGGGGCTGATTTTTGGGATGGGTGCCTTTGGATTTGGGGCTGATTCCAGGGATTGGTGCCTTTGGATTAGGGGCTGATTTTTGGGATGGGTGCCTTTGGATTTGGGGCTGATTCCAGGGATTTGTGCCTTTGGATTAGGGGCTGATTTTTGGGATGGGTGCCTTGGATTTGGGGCTGATTCCAGGGATTGGTGCCTTTGGATTAGGGGCTGATTTTTGGGATGGGTGCCTTTGGACTTGGGGCTGATTCCAGGAATTTGTGCCTTGGATTTGGGGCTGATATTTGGGATTGGTGCCATGGATTTATTTGGGATTTGTGCCTTGAACTGGGGGGCTGATTCCAGGAATTTGTGCCTTTGGATTTGGGGCTGATTTTTGGGATCGGTGCCTTGCATTGAGGGCTGATATTTGGGATTTGTGCCTTTGGATTTGGGGCTGATTCCAGGGATTTGTGCCTTGAACTGGGGGTGGCTGATTCCAGGGATTTGGGGCTGATTTTTGGGATTTGTGCCTTGTATTGGGGGCTGATTCCAGGAATTTGTGCCTTGGATTTGGGGCTGATTTTTGGGATTGGTGCCCTGGATTGGGGCTGATTTTTGGGATTGGTGCCTTGGACTGGGGATGATTTTTGGGATTGGTGCCTTGATATTGGTGCCTTGGACTGGGGATGATTTTTGGGGATTGGTGCCTTGGATTGGGGGTTGATTCCAGGAATTTGTGCCTTTGGATTTGGGGCTGATTTTTGGGATTGGTGCCTTGCATTGAAGGCTGACTTTTGGGATTGGTGCCTTGGATTGGGGGCTGATTCCAGATATTGGTGCCTTGGATTGGGAATGATTTTTGGGATCAGTGCCTTGCATTCAGGGCTGATTTTTGGGATTTGTGTCTTGGATTTGGGCTGATTCCAGGAATTTGTGCCTTTGGATTTGGTCTGATTGCAAGGACTGGGGGCTGATTTTTGGTATTTGTGCCTTGGATTAGGGGCTGATTTTTGGGACTGGTGCCATGGATTTGGGGCTGATTTTTGGGATTTATCCGCACTGCCAGACCTGGGCTGCACTCCGTGCCCTGCCAGCTCTCTCCCCACCCTGTCCCTGCGTGCAAAGCAGGACGCACGGGGGCACTCACAGCTCTGGATCATCTCGGTGAGCGTCTCCACCGCCGCCTTCTCGGCGCTCTCGAAGCCGGCCTCGGTCAGCAGCGAGCTCACCACGACCTGCAGCGTGCGGCGCCGCGCCAGCTGGTAATTGTCAGCGGGGGTGCCGGCCTGCTTGCTGCCCCTCTGGGACCAGAAGAAACACAGAATTATCCATGGGATCCATGGGAATTGTCAGCGGGGGTGCCGGCCTGCTTGCTGCCCCTCTGACAGGGAAAATACAGCGAGAGATCCATGGGATCCATGGCATGGGATCCATGGGATCCATGGTAATTGTCAGCGGGGGTGCCGGCCTGCTTGCTGCCCCTCTGGGACCAGGGAAATGGGAAAAGTTATCCATGGGATCCATGGGATGGGACCCATGGAATAGGATAGGATCCATGGAATAGGATGGGGTTCATTGGATGGGATGGGATCCATGGAATAGGATGGGATCCATGGAATAGGATGGGGTTCATTGGATGGGGATGGGATCCATGGAATAGGATAGGATTCATTGGATGGGATGGAATCCATTGGATGGGATGGGATCCATGGAATAGGATGGGATCCATTGGATAGGATGGAATCCATCGGATGGGATGGGATCCATGGAATAGGATGGGATTCATTGGATGGGATGGAATCCATTGGATGGGATGGGATCCATGGAATAGGATGGGATCCATTGGATGGGACGGAATCCATGGAGTGGGACGGAATCCATTGAATAGGATCCATGGGATGGGATGAGATGGGATGGGATGGAACAGGATCCATGGGATGGGATGCAATGAAATGGGATGGGATGCATGGAATAGGATGGGATCCATGGGATGGGATAGGATGGGATTGAATGGGATCCACTGAATAGGATCCATGGGATGTGATGGGGCAGGGAGCAGGGAATGGAAGGGTTTGGGAGCAGGGACTTGGGAGCAGGGAAGGGTCACAGAGCAGGTGGAAGGACCATGAATCAGGGACTGGGAAGGGACATGGAGCAAGGATTGGAAAAGGTCTGGGAGCAGGCAATGGGAAGGTGACATTGCAGGAACACAGGTACACACACACACACACACGTGTGTCCTATACACTCCCGTGGGCAAGTGTATATATTCCTATGCACTCCCATGGGCACGTGCGTATATGTTACATATATATATAAATATTTATATATGTATATATATTTCCACACGTGTCCTTATAGAACCTCCCACTTTTGGGACGCGGCCCTTTAAGGAAACCCCCACAAGCCCCGCCCCGTCCCCCGCCAGCCAATTGGAGCGCGCCATCCTCAGCCAATCAAACCCCGCCTCCCTCTGGCCTTCCAGCCAATCAGCGCCTCCCTCCCTCCACCCGCTGCCTCCACGCTCCACGGCCTGGCCGCGGCCGCCTCCGCGCCCCGGAGGGATCGAGCGCTGCCGCCCCGCCCGGCCCCGCCGGGGACCCGCCGGGAACCCGCCCTCACGGCCCCGCGCCCCGCGGATCAGGCGCCGTTACCGTGCTGGAGCCCCCGGACGCTGTGTCAGCCATCTTGGAGCCATATGGAGCTGTGCGCATGCGCCAGGTGCGGGCGTGGCTGTGGGCGGGAGCGCGGGGCATTATGGGAACTGTAGTGCAGGCGGAGCCACGCGCGGGGCATTTTGGGAGTTGTAGTGCGGAGGAGGGGCAACATCTGGATGCGCCCGCCCTCCCTCCCCCCGCACATCTGGAGATCCCAATGGGTGGAACGAGATGGGATTGATGGTCCCGCCCAGCCCAAACCGGACAGGACACGGGGAGCACGAGGATTTTGTTGAGTCGGCAAAGTCTCCATTGAAATCTGATTTATCCCATCCCAATTTATGATATTCTGGTTTATAACATCCCGATTTATGGCATCCCAATTTATTATATCCTGATTTATGATACCCCAATTTATTTATTTATATATATATATGTATATATATATATAATACTATTTATTATTATTTATTTATGACAATCCCAGATTTTGATTGTGATTTATTGTGATATATCTCACATTTTGGTCATGATTTATTGTGATTTATGCCACATTTTGATCCTGATTTAGTCCACATTTTGGTTGTGATTTATCGTGATTTATCCCCTATTTTGATAGTGATTTATCCCACATTTTGATTGTGATTTATTGTGCTATCTCCCACATTTTTATCGTGAATTATTGTGATTTATCCCACATTTTGATCGTGATTCCTCCCACATTTTGATCGTGATTTATCGCGATTTCTCCCCCATTTTGCAGGGAGCCCCGCTGCCAGCAGAGGGCACGTTGGCGCCGAGAAATTCTGATTATTTCTTCACTCGCCCAACCAAATCAGCAGCGCTGAGTGAATTCATGGCCATTTTCCCATCCCTCAGCTGTGAAAATCCCCCCAAAAAAATCCCCAAGGATGGCAGCCCCAAAAGGAGGGGACAAACCCCGATAAAGTCCCCATGGATGGCAGCCCCAAAAGGAGGGGACAGTCCCTGATAAAGTCCCCAAGGATGGCAGCCCCAAAAGGAGGGGACAGTCCCTGATAAAGTCCCCAAGGATGGCAGCTCCAAAAAAAGGGGACAGTCCCAATAAAGTCCCCATGGATGGCAGCCCCAAAGGAGGGAACACAAAGGGACAATCCCTGATAAAGTCCCCAGGGATGGCAGCCCCAAGGGAGGTGACAGAGGGGACAATCCCTGATAAAGTCCCCAGGGATGGCAGCCCCACAGGCACAGCTGGAGCTGCAGCAGCAGCTGGGAGGCCACGATAGCTCCTGAGCTGTCCCCTCCCTGTCCATGGGGACAGTGGCCGTGTCACCTCCCTGTGCCATGGGGACAGGGCCATGTCCCTCCCTGTCCATGGGGGACAGTGGCTGTGTCCCTCCCTGTGCCATGGGGACAGGGCCATGTCCCTCCCTGTCCATGGGGACAGTGGCTGTGTCCCCTCCTGTGCCATGGGGACAGTGCCATGTCCCTCCCTGTCCATGGGGACAGTGGCCCTGTCCTCCCTGTCCATGGGGACAGTGCCATGTCCCTCCCTGTCCATGGGGACAGTGGCCGTGTCCCCTCCTGTGCCATGGGGACAGTGCCATGTCCCTCCCTGTGCCATGGGGACAGGGCCATGTCCCTCCCTGTCCATGGGGACAGGGCCCTGTCCCTCCCTGTCCATGGGGACAGTGCCATGTCCCTCCCTGTCCATGGGGACAGTGGCTGTGTCCCCTCCTGTGCCATGGGGACAGTGCCATGTCCCTCCCTGTTCATGGGGACAGTGCCATGTCCCTCCCTGTCCATGGGGGACAGTGGCTGTGTCCCCTCCTGTGCCATGGGGACAGTGCCATGTCCCTCCCTGTCCATGGGGACAGTGGCCCTGTCCCTCCCTGTTCATGGGGACAGTGCCATGTCCCTCCCTGTCCATGGGGACAGTGGCTCTGTCCCCTCCCTGTCCATGGGGGACAGTGCCATGTCCCTCCCTGTCCATGGGGACAGTGCCATGTCCCTCCCAGCTCCTCCTCTCTCAGCTGGAGCTGTCCCCACAATTCCTTCTGGAAGGTTCTGCCCTTGTCCCTCCTGTGGGGGATTTTCAGGGACCCTTTTCTGGCGATTTTGAAGAATTTTGTGGCCAAAATCTCCATCCTGGGTCACATCCCTGGGTGACATTCCCCTCAGGATTTGTCCCCGGGGTATGGGGTGTGAGGAATTCCAGCAGGTTTTGGCACCCCAAAATTATCTGAGCGGGTTTTCCATGTTCCAGGTGGGCAGGAAGGGGAAAGAGGGTTTATATCCCCCATTTTTTTTTTTTTGGCTTTTAGGGTTTTTTTGGGGGGAGTTTTTTTGGTTTTTTTAATTTTGTTTTGGGGATTTTTTTTTTGGTGATCTCTGGGGTTGGGTGTGAGGAATTCCTTCAGGGCAAGGGGGTGGCACCCCAAAAATTATCTGAGCAGGTTTTCCACACTCCATGTGGCCAGGAGGGAAAGAGGGTTTATATCCCCATTTTTTTTGGTTTTGGTTTTTGAGGGTTTTTTTTGGGGTTTTTGGGTTTTTTTTGGGGGGGGGGGTGTTGGGTTTTTTTTTTTGTTTTTTATTTTTGTTGTTTCTTGGGGGATTTTTAACTCAGTTTTTTGTTGTCATTGTTGTTTTGTTTTTTGTTGAGTTTTTTGGATTTTTTTGTTTTTGTTTTTTCCATTTTTTGAGGATTTTAGATTTGAGGATGAGCAGAGGAGGGGTTTTAACAGGAAAAGTCTCAAGAATTCAGAACTTTCCCCTGATTTCAGCAGGAATGATGGAGAAGGGATTTTCCTCATCCTCACCAGCAGAACTGGGGCTGTTTTGGGGGGAAACACTCAAACATTGATAAAATTCTAATATTCAAACATTGATAAAATTCAAATATTCAAACATTGATGAAATCCAAAATATTCAAACGCTGATAAATCCAAATATTCAAACACTGATAAATTCAAATATTCAGATGTTGATGAAATTCAAATATTGGAACGTTGATAAATTCAAATATTGGAACGTTGATAAATTCAAATATTCAAACGCTGATAAATCCAAATATTCAAACATTGATAAATCCAAATATTCGAACGTTGATAAATTCATATATTCAGATGTTGATGAAATTCAAATATTCGAACGTTGATAAATCCAAATATTCGAACGCTGATAAATTCAAATATTCAAACGTTGATGCAATGGTTTTCCCAGGGGCCCTGCCAGGCTCGGGGGCACCCCGGGGGGGGTGGCAGGCCACGCTTCACGTGCACACAACTGTCACCTGCTGTCACCTGCTGCCACTTGGGGCCTCTCTGGTGTGACAGAGGAGCCGCCACAGCTGGGGCGGCCGTTGGGGCTGGGGGGATTCAGGGAGGGGGGACAGGGACAGACAGACAGGGGACAGGGACAGACAGGGGACAGGGACAGACAGACAGGGACAGGGACAGACAGGGGACAGGGACAGACAGGGGAACAGGGACAGGGACAGACAGACAGGGGACAGGGACAGACAGGGGACAGGGACAGACAGGGGAACAGGGGACAGGGACAGACAGGGGACAGGGACAGACAGGGGACAGGGACAGACAGACAGACAGGGGACAGGGACAGACAGGGGACAGGGACAGACAGGGGACAGGGGACAGACAGACAGACAGGGGACAGGGACAGACAGGGGACAGGGACAGATACAGACAGGGGACAGGGACAGACAGACAGGGGACAGGGACAGACAGGGGACAGGGACAGACAGACAGACAGGGGACAGGGACAGACAGGGGACAGGGGACAGACAGGGAACAGGGGACAGGGACAGACAGACAGGGGACAGGGGACAGACAGGGGGACAGGGACAGATACAGACAGGGGACAGGGACAGACAGACAGACAGGGGGACAGGGACAGACAGGGGAACAGGGGGCAGGGACAGACAGGGGACAGGGACAGACAGGGGAACAGGGACAGACAGGGAACAGGGGACAGGGACAGACAGGGGACAGGGACAGACAGGGGAACAGGGACAGACAGAGTGACAAGCAGGAAATGGGGAAAAAAACCCCCAAAACTGCCCCATTTGGTGGCATTGGGATGCTCCAAACCCTTTATTGACTCAGGGAAAATGCAACCCCCAATACGTAGGATACTCCAGAAACAGTCCCAATCTTTGGGATGCTCCAGATGCAATCCCAGTCTTTGGGATGCTCTAAACCCTTTCTTGAGGCAAGGAAAGAAATCCCAATCTTTGGGATACTCCAAATCTTTTATTGAGACTGGGAAAGAAATCCGCAATCTTTGGGAAAATGCAACCCCAACATTTGGGATGCTCCAGATGCGACCCCAATATTTGGGATGCTCAAAACCCGTTATAGAGGAAGGGAAAAATACAACCCCAATTTTTGGGATACTCCAGATGCGACCCCAATCTATGGTTGCTTCCAAACCCTTTACTGAGGCAGCATCCCAATATTTGGAATACTCTAAATCCTTTATTGAGGCAGGGAAAGCTGCAACCCCAATACTTGGGATGCTCCAAACCCTTTATCAAGGCAGGGAAAAATACAATCCCAATCTTTGGGATTTTAATCTCAAACCCTTTATCAAGGTAGGGAAAGATGCAACCCCAATATTGGGATGCTCCAAATCCTTTATTGAGGCAGGGAAAGGAATCTCAATATTTGGGATGCTCCAAATCTTTTATAGAGGCAGCAAAAATGCAATCCCAATATCTGGAAAATGCAATCCCAACATTTGGGATGCTCCAGATACAACCCCAATATCTGGATGCTCCAAACCCTTTATCAAAGCAGAGAAAGGAATCTCAATATTTGGGATGCTCCAAATCTTTTATAGAGGCAGGAAATGATACAACCCCAATATTTGGGATTTTATCCCAAACCCTTTATCAAGGTAGGTAAAATGCAAACCCAATATTTGGGAAACACTTTATCAAGGCAGGGAAAGAAATCACAATATTTGGGAATGCTCAAAACCCTTTATTGAGGCAGGGAAAGATGCATTCTCAATCTTTGGGATGCTCCAAACACTTTATCAAGGCAGGGAAAGAA